ATTAAGTAATTGCAATTTTTGCTACATATGTTTCAGTATAAATGGATGTGAAACTACTTAATATATAAAACCTGCCTTTAAGTTTCTACAACCAAGGGAACATGGTAAATATCTGTTTTCATGTTCTTCTACCTTTCTTCAGTGCAGTTTGAGCTGGGTCCTCTGGAGGTAAACCAGTTCCTCCATCTTTCCAGTATGGGTTTAGCTCCAGTTTGTGCAAACCAGCCTGGAAGGATCAACACCAGAAGAACAGTAACATTATCTATCCATAAATAAACTAAAGACGATATTAAAATCAACATAAATGGACTATGTGTGGTTTCCTTTTACCCTCTGCTTTACGTTTTACAGCCAGAAAATGAATCAAACCATAATTACAGCAGCAGTTTGTACCTGTTCAATGGCCTGAGCCTTGGCTCTCTCTTCCTCCTTCTGTCGGTCCTTCTCCGCCCGTCTCTCTGCAGTGGACGTAGTTTTCATTGCCAGGAAATCAAAAGTCATCCATTCATCTCTCTTTGAGATGGAAACACAATCAGATAAAATGAGGAAAAAAGGTGATCAGCAGACAAACATTGAAACATAAGTGCTTTTAAATTAACGAAAATCCAGACTCCATGACAGAGTGAGAGCACGTCTAGTTTAACATCTAGACCTTGTATAAAACAGACCTGGACATTCTGTGTGGGGCTGAGGTCGCCTTCAGGAGCCTTGGGCTGATCTGGAACCTTCCATGCTTTCGCAGAGTGAGTCTGAGGCTGAGCTTCAACCCAGTCATCCTCTGAGTCCTGAAATAAAGTCAGAAAAACAAAATAAACACAGAAAACAAACAAACAGAGAGATGCAGCAATAAGGAGGGCGATAGAATGCATTAAGACAGACAAAAATAATTTATATTTTTCATCATCAAAATCCCTACCGACTGCTAAAAAGAGTTTTTCTGAAGAAAAGTTCAACCTAAAATAATCTTAATCAATCTTTTTTTAATCTGAGTCTAAATAAATCTTTTCCAGATCCATGTTATAAACCAGCAGGTCTTGAATAACTTTTCCAATCATAGCAGAGCAAACATTAGAAGTATCAATATCTCCATAAACGTATTAGGCAGTCATTAGAAATTACCTGTGAACTGTCACTGGAGCCAGCTCCTACTTCTGCTCTCTTCTCCTTTTTGACTTTCTTCTTCTTCTCCTTTTTTTTCTTGTTTTTTTTCTCTTTCTTCTTTTTGCTCTTGACGGATCCCTCCTGTCAGGTGTGAAAATTTAGTGCTTTTTGTTCTCTTTTTTTTATAATCAATGTAATTTACATTACTAGAGTTGAATATAACAGTCAACAAATGCTGTCAGTTAAACTGATATAAACTGGCTGATATGGCAGCATAGGATCAGACACATCAACAGTGATGGAAGTTATAGGAATCATATTTAACTTATGAAGAATATCTGGGGATGGTTAGAGGTTTGCCTTCCTGATGCTTTAGGGGTGTAGTTTTCTACCCATGAACCTTATAAGGTTAATCAGATCAGGGTCTACTGAGTTTAGATTCCATGTCAACACTTGAGACTCTATCGGGCTCTCACAGCCCTGGATATCATAAACACTTAGCAGGACTTCACTGGTTTAGCATTTATTTGAACAAAATTACATTTCTACTCATCTTCATGTTGATACGTTTGCCATAATGTTGTTACCTCTTCTCTTATTTCCATTAAAACGGAGACTTACTTCCTCGATCTGCTGCAGCCTCTGGTTGACTTCAGGAAGGATCCAGGTGTCCTCCCCTCTCTGCCTCTTTAGCTCCTTTCTCCTCTCTTCCCTCTCATGCTGCTGCTTTGCCTAAATCAATACATCAGAAAAGGGAGATATTCACTAGAAAATAGGGAAGAGTATGATGTTTTTTTTTTTTTTTAAAGACACATAAAAAATACAAATTCTTCAGTAAATATTTATTTTAATTGAACAGCCAAATGTGAAACACAATGGGTATGAAAGGATTTTACAAATCAGATGATTCTTTAATAAAATAAAAATCAAAGTCCACATTAACTTAAAGAAACTACCAGACTAACCCTCTTATTCCTCAAACTGCACATCTATTTGTTACTGAATTCAAAACAAAGAAGTGGATATAAGAACTTGGTCTCTGTTGGTGCAATCATCAGATTTTTCATGTATTTGACCTGTGATCCAGATCATAAAAACAGCTGATCTCTCTGCACTGTTTCTATGAAACCATCATTGCTGTTCTTTTTTTATGTCTTGATCCCCTGTTTTCTTTTTTCTGCAGTTTAATTGATGACAATGCTGTCCCCTCTAAACGGGCAAAGCCAACACAGCAACAGGACTTAGATTTATTTTGTCATTTTCTACACACAAGTGTAAACAAAAAGACATTTCGTTAAGAACAGCTCTCTAGATAATTTCCGTTTTTTAAAGTGCAGCCTTAATAAGGTAAGCAGCAGTGATGAAAAACAGTAATGTAAACATATGACTGTATATTTACAGTTCTAACATTCAGTTTTTGGTTGTTTTTTTCTCTTGATAAACTCAAGAAGTTTGGACTATGTGCTTCAAATTTAAATCGGTTTATTTCTAGAGCTTCAGTTGTGACCTGAAGAATCATTTAAATAAAATATTTTAAACACAATGTTATCTATTGTTTTTAAGCAGTAGTGACAAGCAAGAGGACAGCAATGCGTTCTCTATGAAAGTCTGATAGCTAAGACTGCGTACAGAGAAGCTGGAGAAGAAATTATATCTAGAGGGAAACGCCAGCTCTGTCCAGAGAAGACAATCAGTCAATTTTCGCTTGACTTGAAAATCAAATCCCAATTTCTGCATAAAAAAAGTATTTTCATAAATCTAATAATAAAATAATTGATGAATGCAAAATTAGCCAACAGTTTTTTTTTAGTTTAATGTACTTTTATGTTTGTTAATGAAACTGAAATAAAGGTTACTGCTTTAGTAAACAAATAAGCTCATAATTTATTCATATTAGTTTAAACTGAAGGCGATGTTGACTCTTTTATTTCTGATAACCATATTGAAAATGTATATATATATATATATATATATATATATATATATATATATATATATATATACTGATATCACAATGAATTATATATAAATTTATTACTAATTTAATAGTGTGGAAAGATAGCAAAGGCTTGATCTAATAATATTTCTCAAACAGAGAACAAGGATTCTGGACAACTACCTCATTTCCTATTCAAAGAGATAACTAAACTTTAAACTACAGCAGAGAGAAGTGAAGTGCTTCTATTAGCTTTTTAATATCTGAGATTTTAGAGGCAGGCTGATATATTGTGATGTTAATTTTCTTGCTGATATGGACTGATTTACGATTTAAATTACGGATTGGAACATCCCTATACTACAACCATCAAAAACAGAAATAGCAGATCAAATGTAGAAATCAGGACAAGTGAATGAGCCTGGAAAAGGCTCAGTGGCCCAATCTACTAATGAATCTCATTAGTGTCTGATTGATGAGTATAACAGCGTCCGGAACCTAGTTGTCAAACAGTGGACAAAAGTCTAAAACTACAATGAAATAATTACATTTTAGACAGGCAGATATCCATGTGTCAGTCCAGGCACAGCTGAGCTGAACAGATTAAAGCGTTTTACCAGCTGCAGTCAGAGACGTGTAAACAAAGCTGCACTGCGCACAGATAGCGCCCAGCTGTTAAACTGTGTACATATGTGATCACAGCAGCAAGCCCGCTGACACCAAACTGGATCAGATGGATGGATGGACGCGACTAAAGGCATAAAACAAAGGTTCAAACACAGAAGCGAGGCTGCTATCTGCCTCACTCTGTGTTGAGCTACTAGGGGCAACTATTTAGTATGAATGTATCTGCAGGTCCATCCCCCGAAAAAGATCAATCCAAATTTAAGTCGTACACAAGATGTTGGCTTTATAAAATAAACGAAAAGCTCAAAAAGTAAAGCAAACACACAGACGTTAACACGAAGGGGGTAGCTGTTAGCATACCTAGCTTGTTTATTCCCACCGCACAAATATAATATCAACTGTAAATATACGCAGTGAAACAGCTTGACTTTAATCTGTTAATTGGTCGTTAAGCTCGCGGCTTGTACCTTTTCTATTGCCTCTTGTCGCGCCTGTCGCTTCTTTTCTTTCCTTTCATCGATGCTGCTCGAACTCTCAAAACTAACCCCGTGCGTCGCCATGACACTGCCGTAAATGTGTATGTCAAACGTCGTGACGCTTCGTGGTTTACGGTAACTTTTGACTTGCTGTTCTCAGGGCGTGCAAATGTGTAGGCACATGTGGTAAAGCTGTTTAAAAAAAAGGTTTAAAATTATTTTGACTAATATTCCGGTTATATTAGTCTCCAAAATAAAATACCTTTAAATCAATCTTTATTTTGTATACATTCATCCAGCTGACCACCTCAGTCACTATGGTTTCATGATAAAATGTGATCCTTGTTCAGTGGTTAGTGACTGAGAAATTATACTAAAATAATTTAATTTCTTATAGTTACATCGAATTAATTAAAAAAATGTAAATTGCAAATTAAGAACCCGCAAATGAACCATTATATAACCGCTATAAGAAAATAAGTTAGATCATTTTGACTGCTATGTTAATGTAACCATAGGGTAGAGGATCAGTAAAGCTACACTCTGAATGATAGCTGGCACTTTACTTTCCTTCCAAATGATTGAAAAAAAAAAAAAAAATTAAATTTTTTGTTAAATCTTCCCCCAGCCCTTAAAAAAGGATAAAGGTAGGGTGTTGTATTAGTTGTACTGGTGTGGTTAAGAAAGACAGCATTCCCCTGCTTTTAACTAAAATGTTAGATTTTTGGTAAGATATTGGAGGGGTATATTTGACAACAAACTTGTAGGCTATCTTTCCGCATTCTCTCACATATTCTCCTTCATCCTAATCAATAAAAGCAACTGGACCATTTATAATTCAGATTCAACACCGGTTTGTATCTATTGGTCCCACAGGAACTGAGAGCTTCATGGATGATTTGACCTGAACCTGTGACAAACTACCCTCTTGCCATAGAAGGACAAACTGATGAATTCCCTTTTAAATAGTGCTTGTTTTAAAATTCTTCCCAAAAATTATGTGCATTCGACTGGTTTATAAAATAAAAACAATCCTGCTTTAAGCTGTGATGTGAATCTTGACTATTATTACAAGTGTTATGGCCTGTCTAGGGGAAAAGCCTTGATCCCACATATTATTACTGCTCAAGAAATCCCAAGCAAGAACAACAGCTATAAGTTCCAACAGGCAGTCTGTTGGTTTATTAAATGATTTCACACATTTTGCTTACAGAGAAGTGATGCATAGTCATCAGACTAAATCAAGGCCAAAAACTAAAAGCAAAAGGAAGAAGAAACCACACTTACCTAATTAAATAAATACATTAAATAAAGATTTACCCACCCATCTAAATAAATAGGAGAAAAATTTAGTTCAAACATAAACAGCGTTTAACTCCTTCAACCCTCTCACACCTGAACAACTATTAATACCATCCTAAACTGCAGAGGTGAAACAATGTGTGGCCGATTGGAACAGGCAGAGAAAAAGAGATGACAAGCAGTCTGCGTGGGTGGCCATATTTTATATTGGTCTTCTGCACTACTCCACCAACCAGCTGACACCAATCAGCAACCAGCACTTGTACACTAAGATTTACTTACAAATATGACTGGAGCTGTAACACAAGCCTTGTTATTATATCCATTCATCTTCAGCTACTTGTCAAAGGTGGCACGGGGCCTGGTGCAGACCTCCAGTAGTCTATGGGTGAAAAGCACAGTGCACATTGAACACGTCAGTAGTCCAAAGCAGATTTGTCCAAAGCAGTGCGTTGGTCTCTGTTAATAGAACCAATGCACAAACCCACTCACACCTTAACAACTATTAACAACATCTAGGACAGCAGAGGAGAAACAATGTGTGACAGATTGGGACAAGCTGAGAAAACGGGATGACAAGCAGCCTACATCGTCGTCTTTTAAATCCGTCCTCTGCCTTAGTCCACAATTCAGCTGACTCCAGTCGGCACCTGTACACTCAGATTTACATTTTCAAAACAAGCCTTGGTATGATATCCATCCATCTTCAACCACTTGTCCAAGGTGGCAGGGTCCTGGTGCCAACCTCCAGTAGTCTATTGGTGAAAAGCAGGGTGCACTCTGGACAGGTCACCAGTACAAAGTAGATTTATTGAAAGCAATGCAAGAACACACTCACACCTAATGCTTATTTAGAAGCACCAATTAACCCAACAGTCATATTTTTGGACTGTAGGAGGGAGCCGGAGTACCGGGGAAGAATGCACAGGGAGAACATGGAAACACCATCCAGGAAAAACCTTTGCAGGGCTCAACTGTGGACCTTCTTGCTGCGTAGCAAAAATAACACAATGCAGCTGTGGTATAATAATAAAAAAAAAGAGAAAAATAGGTCATTTTGAACCTGAAAAGCGGGATTGATGAAATAACATTTTTAGAAACAGTTGAAACGTTTGTCCAATCTTGTTTGGCATTACTAAAGTTTTCACAGCCTAAAGCTGCTCCTCATCCAACTTAAAAAAAAAAAAAAA